GCACACACACACAGACTTGGAAACCACAGCAGAATGCGGGAATCACAGCAAGGCATTCATTCCAGCGGCAAATCCCAGAAATCAGCAGTGTTCTCAGTCTGTGTTTTTGGCGGGTCATTACATTTTCATCTTTTCCTTTCTTTTCAGCTTCTCCACCTCCTTGGCCAGTCTTATTTTTTTTCCTGCTCTTCTCCCCTGGCCACCTCCTCTATCACCACCTTGTCTTTGCCTTTCACAAGTCTAGTCATTGTCTCAATTGCGGCGGCGTTACTGTCAATCTTTAATTCAAGATGCGCGAGGTAAGCCATCAGATTATTCAGGACAGATGCAAGGTCGGCATCTGTTCCTTCAAAGTGAAATCGTTGTCTGATTTTATTCATTTTCTTTGCGTGCTGTTCTTTCTCCTGCTTTACTCTCCGGTATTGTTCTATTTTTCTTCTCTCTGCATTCAAAGTTGCTTCCAATTGCTTGATGTTGGCCATCATAATTTCTTCAGACAATTCCTTCACTCTTCACTCTTTTCTTCTTTGGCCTTTTCTCGTTCAATAATCTTCGCATAGTGCTCAGTCACATATCGATCAAGTGCTATTCCCGTTTGATTGATAGTGTCCTGTACTCTTGTGCTGGCTTCCATCATCTTGGCAGCTGTATCAGCTTCCCGTAGTTCGTTTTCTGCAGTGCGCAGATCGAACAAGCTGCTTACACACTGTCCAGGGCCAGCATTTTGTACCTCAGCGAGCAAAGTGCGAAGACGAGTCAACATTAGTTGTCGTCTCTTGTCAGTTTGACCACGGGTTCACAACACTCCCTCCTCCTCATCAGCGAACAAGGTGAGAGTGATGGGATATAAGAAGAAGGGTATAAATCGTGTGAGAATGGAAGCATTCTGAATTCATTCATTTCCGGAGAAAAGACATTTTCGGAATGTGTGTCTGCCGCACAATAAATAATTACAGGACAATAATAAATTCCACGGACACACCTGGTTTCAATCTGATACAGCAAGAATAAATAATTAAGGAACAGATTTCACTTTTTTGTACCTCTAATTTCTGCTGTCTGTCCTATGTGCGATGACGTCCTAACGAGAGTGCACAGGTACCGCAGCCACGGCACACGTGGTTAACCAGGGGTGACACAACAACACAGGTGAGTATG